ACCATTAACTACCAAACAGACTCTAACGAATAAAAGACGAAACAGTTTCTTTTATTTGTTTGTAGATTTTTGGAGTTTTTTCGAGGATAAATATGGTTCACCGGAAAGTCGTTCACAACCAAACTGGGCCTGACGCATGATGTAGTGTAAATAGTTTCTTTAATGATGGGACTACACAAGAAGCCTTCAGTCACAGAGATTTATTAAAATTGAGTCTTACATTTTCAGTGATCTTGTACTGAAATGTTGTACGTCTTGTGTTTCTCTCTTCACTTATTTCGTGCTCTAGCTGCTTTCTGCGTGCTCTACAACAGAACAGAGCACAGTCAAGGCTTCTCTATTTGCTAAATATACTGCAGTTTGTAATCTCTTGCCTGTTTGGTTTATACAAAGAAACGATATATTTGGTGGAAAGTTGCTCGAATCTACTTCAGTTTCGTCGTAGTCCCAGCTATTCTCAGTGTGTGTGGGTAACGAAGCTTACCGTGCGCACATTTATCCCATTAAAGACATTGAACAAAAATACTTCATTGTGAAAACTGGGTAATATCGCAAACACAAACAGTCCATCAGCTTTTAGGAAATTATTAGTGAAGCGGTAATTTCAGCTATTTCATTTTCTTTTTTCATTTTTGACGTCTTAGTGCTTGGCTCCAAATGGAGAAATTTTCAATTGAATGTCAAAATTTGATCCCTGTTTAGATTCGTAATGATTTAAAACAGACGTCTGTGATTGGTCTAGTTAATTCACACCACTGAAAAAAACCAACAAAACAACAATCGTGTATTTTTCAAGGCACTCGCATTTTCCCATGCTTTTGGGCAATTTTCTTTTCTTCGCTTTGGCTTCTGAAATTGGGCCGTTGTGATTATTTTGGTTTAATTTTTGAGACACTTGACGGAGATGTGCTCTTTTGTTGAATTCGAAATCCGAAATCATTAAAAGTGGTAGAAGGCATTATTAGAGATTTTCCTCGTGGTCTTTAGCTTTCGAAACATCATATAAAAATGTTTGTTTCATCTTGGTACGTAATCTTACTTATCTGCCCTTCAGAAAAATATGGATAT